AATCGCCGAAGGCGCCGGTACGCAACGTGTTAACTTATGCTTAGAGTGAATGAATTTTGAAGGGCATTCCTGCTTACTGCAATTAGCTATTCGCACCAGGACCCACACGTACACAATGACACACATTGTATAGCTTATCCAAGCACGCAATCTTCTTCATTTTTTCGTTTCCTTCTCGCCCAGCCCCCTTTTCAACGATTTCTTTGAAGCCTTTTATCACATTGGGATCACCGACTTTCTTCGCCTTCATCGTACTGTTTTCCACCTTATCTTCCATTTTTCCTCATAATCTGGATTACCCCAAATTATCGCAAACTGTGCCTTCAGGAGCGCACAAATGGAAGGACCTTATCATAAAGTGACTCGTCATTGCATAGTCTGCCTATGATCATCAAAGAATTATTCGGTGAAAAGTGGAAAATTTTATGCAGAAATGCGCCAAACGCGAAAAGAAAGGAGTTGCAGTGCACTACTATCAAGTACTTCTATTTCTTTATTCACTAATAGTTGGAGGGAGCTCCCATTATTCCTTTAATTCCAAGGCTTCCTCGTTCCCGTCGTAGATCCTTTGTCACAGCCTTTTCGATGTTCAGTGAAGAGACTGTAGAACAAGCGTTTAGTGCTGCTAGGATGAAGTGAGACATCATTTAAAATGATGGCTTATTTGTCGAAAAAAAGCACCATTTTCCGCAAACACTTTACTGATCATGCTTACTATACAAACATTGAAATACAGAACTAAAAATTAAAAGAAGTTAGCTCATATATCATAGAGTCGGACAATTGTCCCTGTGGGCATAAACAGGAGTACCACAAGTGTATGAGCTCTATCAATAAACTTTGTCATCGTAGACCCGTTCAATACTTTGGCCGGAACTTTGCTAATCCGATGATTTTCAGCTAAAACTTCCTCAAAACAGTTTGAGCCACCTATCATTCTAAAGGCTTAGAGGGTTTCAAAAGTAGCGCAGCTGGGATAACGATGAACGAAAGTGATCACCACTAACTATAATATTATTGGTGCTATGTTGAAGCGAGAGACGATCACAATGATAGACTATCTCCAGCGAAACAACTTCTTCGATGGTATTCGACCTCCGACACGAAGAGGTGTATTGACTATTCCTTAATAAAGCGGAGAATGCATACAAGTGGAGAAAGGGTATACCACCCAAAAAATTACTCTCATTTTATCGGTTTTCCAAAAGGTCTTCTGATCACATCACCAACTCTATCCAGTGGCGAGAAACTCGCTAAAACTGCTGTAGTAGTAAGGACTAAATCTGACTTTGACAGCCTAATAAGCCGTCCCTCCTCTAGTGGGTGAATATCTCAGTGAGCTCTATGTAGGACTGCCAAGAAATCGTTTATTCAGAAAATATCCAGTGAAAAAATTGCAATGAAAACACTATATGAATTAACAACAGGTGAAAGACTTAAGTGGCGAGTACTAGTTGTGAGGGCTCAGGTTCTACAATCAGTTATTAAAGTACTATTGGTATCGGTGTTATTATTGCAGGACACACAACCTTATAGGAATAATCAACCCCTGTACCTTGCATATCTCTTCAGCTGACCATAAAGGGAAGAAAGCGAGATTAATAAATAGCTAACAATAAGAAAGCTGTGATTGAGTTTCCCCGGGAAGTACCATAACTGTCGTTTCACTCAGAGCTCTTCCCTTAAAGTGATTGCCCAAAGTGATTTTTCGCATTGTTCCCTACACCTCCCGAGCTATCAATAAGAATTTGATAGGGGAAGGTTGGAGCAACTATTCAATCAAAACAATGCCGATTTGTGAAAATGCGAGGAGTAGATGCAGTGTCTCTTATTTCCAACGGATAAAACACAAGACCTCATCGGAAATTAGTGAGAGCAGCTAGTAGGACTGTGGCACATCCCAGTTCCAATAATCGCTACGAACGACTACCTGTACGCCATCTTCACTAATCTGGTAGTATGGCCTCATAATCGAAAGCAAATTTGCAGTCAGCGTCGTTTCTCCCAGAGATATGCAGGGTACGTTAGTGAGTGAGGTGAACGAAAGTGGTGTAATGTAGTGGTATTCCCTCCAACAGCCAATTAATTCACACACTTCTTCAATTACAAAAGTAATTGCAAACGGTTACACCAACACGACCCTGGGAAGCTTAAATATAATAATTGTTCGGAAGGAATTTACATGCAGTTGGAATCTTGCATGACACCAGTGAGATTATGCTGTGGGCAACATGATGACAAATCAAACCTCGTGTTCCAATAGATGAAGTGAAGGTTGAAGTGGGGCTTTACAGGAAAGGAACTCGTCCTTCAGCAAACCAACTGATTCGCCGCTTGTCGTGAATACCCACTGGCCGCCCGAGCAGGTCAGTGCAGGATTATCCTCGACGATGAATTGCTTTCGTACTTCCGCCACGTCATTCTGAAACCATTCAAATGTTATTTACAGCAAAGGCGTACACAAGTTCCTGCACTTCCATTCAAAACCTAAGTTTTCGCGAGTGTCGGAGTGTGTGTTCAATGGAAATCTATAATTACAGTTCCCGTGAAGCCGGAGCGTTCAACTTTGGAAGAGATGAAGGCAGGAGGATGGGAACACTGATCATGAGCCATAGGTCTGGACTGCGCCTTCAGAGGTGGAGCGT